ACAGACAGCACAGATTCCTCAGAAGCTGATGACATCTCATCTTCCTCATCTTGCGTGAGGTCGTCAAAGTCCTCTTCTTCCTCTTCCTCTGGCCCATCCTTCTCTCCCCCAGTTTCTGGCCCAGCCGGGGTCCCCACTGACTGACCATCAGCGCTAGACAAGTCTTCAGGCTTCCCTAGGGGGCTGCTAAGCACCATGTCAGGGTCAGCACAGGATGAAGCATTCTTTGGGGACCCTTTGCTCATTTCTCCCGAGTTTCCTCCATCAGCAGGCTCTTGAGAAGCTGAAGGGGCTTTAGCTGGTTGACTCCTCTCCTCCTCCTGCTGCAGGGCCGTCTGTTTCTTCATCTCTCTAGCACCGCCTGACTCCTCATGTGGAAAGCCAGTGCCCAATTCCACACAAGGTTCCTCTTTGATTTCCTGCTTCGGGAATCCACCAGAGATTTCCTCCCAAGAGTCTTCAGGTTCCATCTTGACAATTACCTCTAAATCCCCAGGGGAAGAGTTTAGAGATTCTTGGATGCCCTGAGGCAGTGGTTCCATAGCCTGCCTCCCCTCCTCTGTTTTCACGATAGTCCAGCCATAGGCACTGCTGTCCGACAATTCTTCCCGGCACGCTCTGTCGGCCGCTGGAGGCCCTGGGCTGGGCTCCTCTTTGGGGAAGACAGCAGCACAGAGGGGAGAGAGTTCCTGAGGTTCTAATTTGGGTTCTAGGCCTTGAAAGGCATTTTTCCCCTCAGCCAAAGGACAACTGATGTCCACATTCACTTGGGCTTTCTCTTCAGGGGTGGATGGTACAGGAAGATTCACAGAGTTGCCAGAAACAATTAAGGGTGGAATAGAGGAGGCCACAAGGGGCTGGTTCAATGGACAGGGGAAGGAAGTGGGGTTAACTAAGAGGGTGGTGATGGGGATGGTCTGAGGACTCTGGGCCACAGCAGCATTCACAGGCTGGATCATGTTGCAGCCACTGCCAAGGCTCACAACCTTCACAGTGGTGGCAGGGACAGTGAAGATGACAGGTGCAGGGTGGAGGAGGGGAGCAGGCTTCAGACAGAGAGAGGTCTTGGCCCCCTTTCTCTTTGAGCCCCTCCGTTTCACACAGGGCTTTCGAAACTTAGAAGGACCAAGAGAGGGCAGCATTACCTTGGGCACAGGGGCAGAGGGGACCAGGGTCTGGGGCTCAGGCACAGGGAAGCTGGTCTTGGTGTCAGGGGGTGTAGCAGGCAGTGCTGCTGGAGACTCAAAACTATCGCCCCCAGCGACCCCCGGCGGAGGGCCACCTGGCACTTTCTGTAAGACAGTGGCTGGCTGGATCATGCGAGGAATCCGGACCACCATTTTGCTCGGAGGGGCTTCTGACTGAGGTGACCTAGCCAGTGTCTTCCCAGAGCCAGAGCTAGGTTGGAGAGAGGGGCTGGGTCTGATAAGGAGGGGCTTCAGGGCTGATGACCGCCTCTGGATGACCGCTTTTTCCTTCCTGGAAAAACGATTGGCAACTGGCTCCAGTTTCAGGACTACACCCTTAGGCAGCAGCAGTGGGTACTGAGTTTCACTCCCCAGTTCTGAGCTGCCTTTTCTGAGACCTGGGTCTGAGCTGATCTTCGTGGTTCTGATCACATTTCCTACCTCTCTGGCACCATCAGCTATGAGCCGCAGCTCCTCTTGGATGGATGGCAGACTGGCCTATTGGGAACAAGAACACTCTGATGCAGCACGTGCCAGAACTTGGTAAAAAATCATAGGGCTTTCGAGATGCAAAGGACCTTTTCAGGACAATCTCTAGACATCATTTCAAGAAGGATTCTTCTGCACAAA